AAGTGGGTTTTCCAGACTTCTGATCTAAATGCATTACAGTGCATCTGCTTGGGTAAAAATGCATATTTTGACAGTTCTGTTGCCTGAGGTTGTTTTTTAAGAGTTCTGTGTACAGTGGTGTGCAGCATAAGGGTTAGGGTTAGGGTTACTGAACCCCAAATTGCTCCCGATGCACAGCATCGTGTGTGAATGTGTATGAATGATTTTTTCTGTTCGATGGACTTTGCCAATCACTGAGTGAATGTGTGTGAAAGGCTGAATGTGGCACGTAGTGTAAAGCACTTTGAGTGGTCGGAAGACTAAGAAAGGCGCTATACAAGTACCCCCCCCCCCCCCCCCCCCCCCCCCCACCCCCCCCCCTGTCCATTTACGCATATATGAGGCTTATGATTACAATTCAGGGACGATGCATCTAAATTTGGAACAATTTGTTGTGACATTGCTTACCTTCAAATACATATATTTACATATGAAATACCAAATTCCTGTTCAAAGACTCCCAAATGTCTTCCAAACTTTAGATTTTACATTTGATGGTACACTGTAAATCCTGCCGAACAAGTTTGTTATGTACCAACTTTGCGAGCCACACTGGCTAACATTAACTCTTGACACTCTTGTTGCGAGACCCTCGTGTTGACCTTTAACCTTTCACAAGACTGTAGACACTGTTAGCAGCAAAGCTTCAGTCAACAATTCATAACTTTAGAATCGCACCATTAACCGGTTCATGTTACATTAAGAGCCATCCACAGGTCCGTGTACTGATGTAGTTACATTTATTACGCTAAAACTGATTTCCGACTTGTATCAGTAAATCTTTACACCCCTAATAGTTATGGTGTAGTGTACATGGAGCGCGTAAGAACTTTGATCGGTCAGCTTGGGCTGCTTTTTTCTTATGTCCAGCAATGATATACAGTGATATACAACAAAGCCATCACAGTCTCTGCAAACCTTGTGTTCCCTGTGATTGCTGCTCTCGCAGTGAATGATTGAATGTAAACATGAATACTTCCTATTTAATGATTAAACAGCAATAGTCCTCCATTCAGTAGTAAAAAAAAAAGGGGGACCTTCTCATCACATCAAAGTGACTAAAAGAATGTAAACACTCAAAGAATGTGTTTATGGTGGTGATATGAACAGGGGAAACCCGGTGCAGAACTATATAAATCAAATTCTACATCGGAGGCCTCTACGTCAGAACCTGAAAACATTCCATTATACTTCGCCCTTTAAAAAATACGTTGGTCAAATTGTTATTTAGTTATTTTACAGAATGTACTTTAAGTCAAACAAATAACTTGTGCAGACAACTTAACCAATTTCAACAAAAGACAGTAGATCAGTCGTGTGTCTGTAATGTTAGTGTGACAACCATGCAATGCACTTGGTAGAGTCATGTTAACAATTATGGAGTTTTTCTTAGAGTATTGATGAATCCTAAATATGTTTTCTTGCTGTAAAACAGTTTCCAGTGTTGCTAAACTTATTTTAAGATATTAATGCTTTTCTTGATTGTGGTTCAGACCTTCCTCATTTTGCATGTTTTGCATTGCAGCTACTTTATTTGGGAAGGTGTTAAAATTGTAATGAACGCTTCGATATTGGGTGGTTGGATCACTGTTGACAGGAAGAAAGAGCACAATGGAGACAGATAACTTTCTCAAGCAGCAATTCAACAACGCATCCTCATGGTGACTGAACTATCCGATCAGGAGCTAAAGAGACTTAGCCTGAGGTAAAAATGTGAGGGAACACCAGAGGTAGATTCAGCAGAATATTGTAATTGTTTTAATGGTGCACATGTAAAGATTTAAACATGTAAATGTGTAAATAATAACTGTGTAACATAAATATGTAAATAGTTTACTCAAATATGTGAATTAACTTCAAAACGGTACAAAATGATTTCAAGCCACTGACAGAATCTTCCAGCTTGTTAAGAAAATGGTCCAAATGACTCGATACGATGGACATGTTTAGAGTGCACCTTTTCTAAAACTTTCTCTGCCTCAGTCATTTATTATGCACCATATGGCCTCAAACCAGCTTATTTAGACTAGTAGTTCTTTGAGGAAGTAAACTAACTGGAGCTCTTAAATGCTAGAGGAAACAAGAAGTAACATTTAAGCTGGGTGTCACTTTATGGTGCAATCTCTAGAGCTTATTTTTCTGCTGTTGCTTTTTAAGGGGGGAACCATATCAGAGTCATATCAACATTCTAGTTGTTTAGTGTTACACAGAACAGTGGGAAAGATTGTTGGGAGTTAGTGATGATTAATCTCAGACAAACAAATAAATGCTCGCTTCCCACAGCTTCGCCTTTCTTGCGGTCTTCAGGGCTTTCCCACCCATTTGTTTTCAGAAACTTAAAGGGCTTTTCCACATATTACTAATTGACAGTATTATCACATATGTTATGATGTTGATGTGCAGTGCCTGACATGAGAGGTATTACTGTAAAAGACACCAGTAAGGTTTTGCTTCACTTTTTAAATAATTGCCAGAATGGTTTTATTTAATCAGATGAACAAAATACAATTTCCCCTTAACAACATTTTTTAATTATTACAAATTATCTCAGGACCTGAGGTACTGAGATAGTTTATATGATAAAAGCCAGTCAGAGATGTACTTTTTTCTTTAGTCATTGAGTGATTTAAAGATTGGACTTGCTGCAGTGAGTTACAAGCAGGGTTTGAACTACATAGTGGCTTTTTGGGGAGCTCTATTTTCTTTCATGTTACTAACATGTCACGTGTATGGAAGTCCCCGGCCATTGTACTGTTACTCCAGACACTGTCAATAAATTTGAATTAACAACAATGTATAGGTTACTGTTTCTTAATCAAAGAATGCATTTATTAATTATATATATTATTTATTATAAGACAAAAAAAAAAAAACGCTTTTCTGCTTCTGCACAGTCCTGCAAGAATCACAACTCACACGGTAGAACAATAAAGCCAAACATTTGTTAAACACTGTTTTGGAAAATGTGTGCTTTTTAAGGCTTTTACAGAGCCTGTTATCATGTATTAACATTATCATCTGATCTCTATCAATGTAAACTACTGCGAAGTAGTATTTGTTTTAACCTGGAAGGAGTTTGCATAAAGTATCATAGGCATACAGGAACAGCTGTTTGTGGCTTGCAGCATGCTCTCTCTCTCGGTGAGTGTGTGTCTGTCTCTTAATTCACTGTCGTTTCCCGTCTACACCGGGGGCGGGGAACTGAATTTGGGGCAGAATTTACAACAAGAAAACGTAAGCAGGCTAAGTGGCGCTACCTAAGTGGCCTTTTCTGTCTATCTAGCTCCTTCCCCATTTCAGAACCATGGCTAGTGCAGCTACTGCGGCTACCCTTCAGGGAGCTTGTGTGTGGACACACACACTGTTTTTTCAAATAACATTTAATCTTAATTGCCATATTTTATTATTATTTATTTAATTTTAATGTACAGAATATATAACCTGTAACACAATAATAAACAATGTTTTACCTCCTCATAAATGTATCAGAGTAGGCTTCCAGGGCTCCCCTTAGCCCCTCAGTAACCATGGACCATGGTCTGAAGACATTTTCTGTTTCTGTTTTGTCTGTGTTTGAAGAAATCATCGGCACATCAATCACTGATTTGTTCTGTGAGCTTGCAAAGATAATTGGTTGTCATCTACGTAATATGATAGGAGATTAAATGTTTGGAATAATTTGACTTTATGGAAGCATGGGAATATAAAATAGAAGAGTCCCAAGGACTGAGCTTTGTTCTCTCAGATGCATAGTTGCCACATGTGAAAAAGTAGCTACTGTTCTGTAGATTGGACTTGAACCACTTTAGGACTGCATCTGAGAGTCTAACCCAGTTTTTCTGTCGTATAGTAGTATTGTATGATCCAATAGAAGAGACTAATAGTATGTGATAGGGAGATCACTACTTTAAGTTACTTACTCAATAACATCAACATTTGTTCTCCTGTGCCCAATGTATCAGTCCTTTCTGCAGCAGCCATGGTTTCAACTCTGTGCCCCTTTGCATATATAATCTATAAATGCAGGAATCTTGGCTGCCCTTCTCTATCAGACATTTTTATTTTGATGGTTTTGTTTTTTGTGCCCTCATCTCAAAGAAATGTTGCATCTTAGCTGTATTTTTTTTATATCAAAATAACACAATTTTGAATCAGTTTTGTTTTCTACCATTATTGTCATGCATTTAATTTTTTTTTTAATTCTGATGAATTAATTAAGATATTATATGAATTGTATTATAATGAATAATCCCGATTTGACCTCATTTGTATGTGTATGTTTATTTTGTCTTGTTATGTCAGCCCCAATGTTTCTTATGCATAAAATTCATAAATAAATAATATGAAAAACAATTACCATTGATAACATTTCTGATCATTTTTATTTAAGCTTCATTCAAAGCAGCCACAAATGCTTCAGCTACACTTGCATACAATTATATTCACTCTTTACGTATAAAAATAATGGATGGCAAACACAAGAGCTCTATCACCCTAACCCTCTTAGGACACAACTTACCTCGTTCTTAAATAAATAAATTAAAGATCTCACATAACATGTTTGTAACACAAAGATTTGTTATTAGCAGGACCAGTGCCACATCGGTGTTTAGCTGCAGACATAGGACGAGGTAGATATACTGTAGCCAAACACTTTTTATAATACCTGTGTTTTTTTGTTTGTTTTTTAAGTTTAAGTGCCAATTGTTCTGGTTCTCTCTCTGTTTTCACTCCCAGAAATAAAATATCTGAATTTGAGTTTTGCGTACCCAAATTTTGAAATTGGAACTTAAAGAGTACAGTTAGATACCAAAAGGGGTACCTATTACTTCATAAATGTACTTTAATCAGTACATCTATGAGGTGGGTACGCCCAAGAACAAAAACCACGGATATTTTTAGAGTGAACAGACTTCTTTTTAGTTTTTCTCGTTATTAGATCTGCATTATTTTACATCGCATTGTATTACTCCTGTCAATCACCTGACCTGAAATGAAGTGTCCTCCAAAACATTTTGCCTTGCATACTTTATTATAACATGTATTCATTTTTTTTGTTTGTTTTTGGTTACACAGGACTGGTCATTTCAAGCTAGGTGACACAATTAAGTTTGAATTGTTTGGTCCATTTCAGAAGAAACCCAGCAAAAACTAAAACTCACTAAAAAAGGATTGAACTGTAATTAGCTAGATGCAGATGTAAGTAAATTATCTATTCCTCTAATTGACTGTATTGGCAGTGCATCTGCAATAGGGCAGCATTTTTTTAAATTATCATTGAACTGGTCAAACTCTTTCGTACCTAGAACAAGATATTTTCTACTGAAACCTACTCCGCCATAAAAACTACATGCACGTCGTTCCTTGAAGCACACAGCTCAGCTACATTAGAATCAATTCTCTGCAGCTTGTTGTGTAGTCTGTCACCGGCGCTGTTTGCTCCTGCTTTGGTCAGTATATCTGGAAGTTGCCGAATTTGTTTCGCTGTGGCTGAAGCGACCCAAGCATTGAGCTGTTCATTTAAAGCAGAGGTGCTCAGTCCTGAAGTTCCTGCGTGTCTACTGCCGTCCTTAGACGGGAGCTTTTGCACAATTCGTCGCAGCCGCCTGATGGGAATTTGGTGATGGACGAAGAAAGTGGGGAGGATTTCTCTGAGGTATTCGGCTCCATCTGCAAAAAGATAATAAATAAATAACTGATAAGGAAAGGCTAAAAAGCACTGACCTGAGAGCAAGGCAGTAACAAGTTCTTCAGAGAGGACTGTTAGCTTGGCATGGAGCAGAACCATTTTAATTACCACATTTTTACAGGTTTAATAAAGGACGTGGAGAAAAAGTCATTTAAAACTACTGCAACAAAGCTTTTAAATACAATTAAGAACAATCTTCAGGCAACTTGAATGTCAGGGGGTCTTTGAATTCAACACTTTGACTTGACTTTGAAATCTCTATTTGAACTTAACGAGTCATTATGTTGAAAACCACACCTAAGGCTTCAGTCTGCAAAACCTTAATTCAGATAAAAGCTTTTTCTTAAGAAATTAAGTGAATAATACGGATCAGTGGCTTCCTTGAAGTTTGGAAACTGACGTAAAAATGAACGTGGAAAATAAGTGTTAGTGATTCAAGGTGTGCTTGTTTTAGTAGGTGGAACAAACATTAACAACCAGACCACCAATGTACCCAAAAACATGACATGCCTCTTCATCCGTTCCCTTTTTCTTGTACAAGGTTTATAAACTGGTGAACTCGCCTCTTGAATTGTGTTCTTCGCAGGTCGTGTACATGTTGTCGTGCCAGGTGGAGCCCCTCACCACCAGGTGCATCCCTGCAGCGTGGCAGTGTTTGTGCTCCGTGCAGTTCTGGTGAGAAGAGACGGTGTCGGAGAAGGTGCCGTTGGAACAGATTTGGCACACCGTGTCCTCATCAGCCGTACCTGGAGGAAACATGCATTTGTTTAAGATAAAGGATGAAAACAACATGTTGTCCTGACTAGTAAGACAGACTGCTTCTTACTTTGATGAAAATATCTGTCCCAATTGTCTGATTGGCAAGAAAAAGTCCCTGTCTCCTGCAAAGCATCAAACTCTTCTGAATCAAAGAGAAATGAACCAAATTTCAATTTCAATTTCTGTCACATTAACAATGTTGCTGGTCCTTAAGTGGGCTCATTAAGGAGCATGGTTCCACAGATTTCTATTCTCTAAATAAAATAATTTGTGAACACTGTAAATATAAATGTAGTTACCACTGTTCTGCCTCTGTGTGGCAGTAAATCCATCCTGCTAGAATGGAATGTAGCTGCATCCATTCGGATCTAATGCTGTTCAACTCAACCACACTTGTTACAACCTTTACACGTTTCCTTTGTTTGGTTTGAAGTTCTGATATCCATAAGAAGATAGAATTGCAGTTTTAAGGACCAAAAACAATCTCAATATAGTTTTACATGTCCTATTTCATAGTTCTCACTGGGGTTCTAGCAAGAACATCATTTTAATATTAATTAGACATTCTTCAGATTGGTTTTCTGAGTAATTAAACTGTTGCCTGGTGACTGTTTACTTGTTAAGTGTTTTGACACATCTGCTTTATTATAAAATACAAAAATGAATCTCATATTCTGTAATATGAGACGTTATAACACCAATGGGAATGTATGTTGCCCTGGCAACAGGATTGCGTTAGTTCAGTGGTTGGAGCCACACATGCTTGTGAAGTCCTGCTTATGAGTTATAGTTCAAATACAGAGAATAGGCGGATTTTGGTGTGTGAGGGACACTATGGACACCTGAGACAGTTAGAAATATGAAGCCTTATTAAATAAACGTATTTAAACACTTTAGACACAATTAGAGTTGCCACAGTACAGAGAGCATACAGAGTCCTCCAGGCATTTTGGGTATTGGAATCATTTCTTTAACATACAGAAAGGAAATGTCAAAATGTGTTCTGACATGTCTGAATGCTGTCAGAGTCGACAGGAATATACAGAATACATATGTGAGCTATATAAGTTAGAACATACTTCGGGAGCGGTAACCTACCTTGGGTCAGCACTCCCTGCCCGGTCGGACACCGGCTGTGGGGCAGGCACTCCTCTCGGTCCTCCCGGTAGTAATACCCCTGTTTACATTGGCACTGGCAGTCGCTGTTCGCCGTGCACGCCGTCTTCACCACCTGGTTCTGGCCGCACACCCCGCAGCGGAGGCACTTGCTGATGTGGTTCCACAGCTCCGTGAACGAGCCCGCAGGACACGCAGCGCACTGGCTGCGTTGCGTGGACGTGCAGCGCGCCAGCAGGTAGGTTCCCGGGGGGCAGCGGTCGCACTCCACCGGGGTCCCGGTCGTCGGGTCCGTTGCTTTGAAAGTCATCAGCTGCGAGGCGGCGACTGACAGCAGCGCCGCGGGAAAGAGCAACATCAGCCCCTGGAACATCTGGATAAAAGGGGGGAGGACACAGGAGAGGACGGGAGGAAATGGAAGGGAATACGGTGTTATTCCAGGAACTGATGGGACGTGAAACGAGGAAAGATGAGAGAAATACAGGAAGATAGAAGGAAAACAACCGGGGAATACAAGAACATGCACTCAAGCTGAAGGTCAGTCAGAAATCCAAATACATCGATCTGAAAATACTGAACACTGGCATTCCTCCCTATTCTCTAGTGCCCGAACGCCTGTCAAATCTAATGATACAGTGCTGAGTAGCTGGTCTCTGTGTGGCCCCCAGTACACTGAGAGCTGCACGGAGAGCTGGCCCCAGGCTGTGCGCCCCTCCAGCGGCGCTGCCCCCGGACTTACCATCGCTACAGTGTTGTATCTGCTGATGGAGGGTGAGGCGGTCTGTCTGTCTGTCTGTCAGACGGATGCTGCTCTGTCCGCTCCCCTCTCTATTTATTATCTCTCACGCCCTTCAGCTCGATTCATCAGTTAATGCTTTCCCGGGAATGCCATGCTTCGTCATAAATATGGTATTTAGAGTCATCCTTTTTTATTGTCATTAGACCTACTATAGTTTTTTTAGATTTCCAAAAGTGCGTGTTCAGCGCGTCAGACGTGCAGTATTCCCCCACTACAACCCTCCGCTAGTAGTCCCCTACGTGCTGTCCCTATAAGGATGTGTGTACTTATTTCTCGCAATTTAAAAGTTACCGGTATTTTCCTCATGAAACGTCATTGATCGCACTGAAGAGGGAAATGGGAATTTCAGTAAACGTGTGAGATATTCATGTTGGGCTGAAGATTTGTAGATATTTAGATTTTGAAGTTATTTTTTAATAGTTATTTGAAGTGGAATTTAAAGCAGATACAATGCAGCCTAATATATATATATATATATATATATATATAGTGTGTTCTTGACTTTTACCACAAGTTGTTGAGTTCAGCCATCCAAGGTCTAACTCTTCACTCTACACAATTCACCTTCAGTCTGCTTCTTCTTGTTTTTGTCCTTTTTTGTTGTGACACTGTGTATTTAGGATCCACCTGTACACCTGGGTGGGTGGTGTATCCGCGCACACATGAAGTTGATAGGTTACCATCGGTTCAGGAGCAGGGCCATGCCTCCTCCCAGACCAACCTAACAGTTGTCATCTTCCTCCTTCTCCCCTCCACATCCACATCAGTTCATCTATCCTTTACTTACGTGAAATATTGTGGCGTGGCCCTTGCTAGTGAATTGGTCATTTAAGTGGATTCTCATTCTCACAGCCTGGAGCAGATGGTTTGATGTTAGTGTGTAAAACACAGTCTATTCCAACGATGCTTTCCATTCCTAAGTTTCTCTTCTCCCCGATGCCCACTCTGTATCTCAGTGCCAAATACTAAAGAAGTGAAAGAAAAGAAAGAGGCTCTGCCAACTTGGGTTATTTCTTGCTTTCAAAGGATAACATTGAGCAATAAACATTGGCACACATACAGTTATTCTGTGGTTTAACTTGCAATTCTGATAAAGGAGGTAGTAGTAAGACACAGTTATTCCATAATTACACATGGTTTCAGAGTACTGTATAATTTGCATCACTCAAAATGATGGAAAATAACTGTCCTCAATAGTAAATACAGTCTTATTTCAATACTTAGTAGCAGATTGCAACCAACTAAAACCCGCTGACTCAACCAAGCATGACGGACAAACTACAGTGGAGCCAGTGATTGGTTTGTCTTTCTTAAAAAGACCCCAAACAAACAAAAACTTATCTCATCAGAAAAATGTGAAAAATGACACTTGAGATGCCGGGCTGCTGCAAGGAATTCTGGAGGCCCAACACAGAACCAATAATTGACCATTGATCACATGCTGAGGTCTGCTTATGTTGGTTTATAAAACAACTGACTGCTGACATCTTGTGGAAAAAAGACATTACTGTTTAGTTCATCATAAATAAGTGAAATTGATGAAACATGATAAATAATCTTTTATTTTATCTGGAATGAAATGAAAATGAGTCCATGAGTAAGATGTCAAATGAGGTTAAGTCAGGATTCAATCTGGATGTACCCCTCAATCAATCAATCAATCAAAAAAAATAAACATTTAAAAGTGTTACAGCATTTATTTTATGGTACTGAGGATTATAAAATAATGGAAGCTTTGAACAAAATTTGACAAATTTAAGTATTTTCTGGTCCCTGAAAATAAAGAAATTGCAGTTTTTTATTCAGTCTTACTTAATAGTTGTTTTTTTATAAAGTCTTCCTTGAAACTTTGATTTGAAATTTTAACTTCTGCAAACATCAAAGGAAATATGATATCATTTATATAAAAATGAGAAACAGTAGTGACCCAGGAATGGACCCTTGGGAACACAGCCTTGGCACAATCTTTTAATCATCCAGCGCAGCATTGGAAACAACTGCCTGACTTTAGGAATGCTGAAACCTTTGAAGTTTTACATTCAGACTAAAAACATTATTTTCAAGCACTTTTAATTAATTAACGTTTCTAAAATCTAAAGTCCTATTATTTTTTCATGATTTTTTAAACCTGCACACATTGAATCTGCATGAAACGTGCTTCATCAATAAAACTGCTTGCCCTGCCTTAACTATTTATAAACTGTATCAATGAGACCTTTTTTCTGCAATTTACTCAGTAAAGTGCACGTGATGACTGTATATAAACCTCTTAGGCTTCAACTGAATTCACAGTTGTCAAGCACTGCAGAAATTCTGTTGGGATCAAAATTTTCAGAAGAACAAAGTATAACTTTATTTCGTTGTTTAGTTTTTAAAATAGCTTTTGCCATCACCTTTAAAAAAAAAAAAAACACTGGCCAATCCCAAAACCTTGAAACCATGGTTGCGACTAATACTTACTTTTTACGACTGACTAATCTCCCAATTTGATTAACCAATAAATGGTTTAGTCTATGAAAAAGAACTGTGAAAAAAAGCACATTGAAATCTCCCAGAGCCTCCCCTTCCTCTTCAAGGTTACACTGAGCTTTTCCAGGCCACAATGAGAGAGGTAAAAACCTGGGGGTGTGTGGGTTCAACATGATGAATATGGAAAGAAAATATGACACAATTTGCCACAACAGCACACTGACGTTTTTTCCTCAGCTTAAAGCTGGTCACATAGAATCTCATATTACAGTGCAATCTATTTCTGGAACGCTGCTGGGCTGGACAGGCTCACTGAGAATGACCTGTCAATGACAAGTATACACGCCCTAAAGCATACCCTGCTATATTGTCTATTTTACTCTAAATGAGACGATGCATGGGTTACTTACAATGTTTCGTATGGCGAAGAAAAGACCACATCTGAGCAGTTTGAGAACATAAAGAACGGTCATTTAGAAAGACCAGTTCGAGCTAGGAGTAATTTCTACGGGGAGTGTTGCTACAGCATTCGCGTTTATGAGGGATTGACACGTTTAACACGAGCTTGTGTGGTGCGTCGTGGAGGCTTGCACAAGTCGTTGCCGTTGACGGCAAGGTTTTGTCAGAGAAGAAGGACTGGCTGGTGCTGCACACAACTGACCGTGTCTTGAAGTTTAATTACTGTGGCTGTCGCGTCTTACTTGCTTGAGTGTATTCATGGGGAAATAGTTAATTTTTTTGTTGTTCGCCAGAAGAGAATGAAGAACACGAATGGATTGTGGGTTTTCGCCGACAGACAGTGTTCACTGGGGCTGAGCAAGTCATCCTTCGACTTTGTGTGGTCACTGTTCCTGCCCCGCCGTGGAATCATCTTAGGCGTCTAGCAGGCGTTATTTACGCTGAGTGAGCAGGCAATTTTCATGGGGGGATGCTTTGTGGGTTGTGGAACTGAAGAATGGATTCAGAGCTGGGTGGTAAGAAGATATGTGATACGAGCTCACGGGTAGAATGATGTGAATGAGGATGGGTCACGAGTTTCTTTGCGATCGGGATCAGTGTTAGTCAGCCAGGCGAGCTGACTGCTTGTTGCATGCGGGACAGGCAGTCAGGAATGGTTACTGTAATCCATCAGTATATTTTAGGTTTAACCCATGAGGTCAGGTGTAATATTAGTTATTTATACCAGTGTCTGGGTGAAATAGTGCTTGATTCTGATTAGGCTGCCTCGTCATAATGAGTATGAGCACACTTAAGTAGTTTCAGGGTGGAACGAGGTTCGCTTGCACCATTCTAAATGAATGAGAGCCTGGACATAAACTGAATAAAAAAACAAGATCTGAATATTTTATAGAATAGTATCTGGGACCACCTGGGTAGCAAAGTCCTTCAGTGTTGGCTCATCCTGCTGAAAGATCTCCTTCCTGAAAATCTTGACTTGTGATTCGTGGGACAATGGACGTGAACTGTTAGTAGTTGCTGGCAGATACCTGGCTGCGGCATTATCCCCCTCCCTTTTGGTGGATTTGAAGAGTTCTGCAGAGGGGCCAATGCCCAGGCACCAAGGGGTCTGAAATTGGGTTGGAAAAAATAAATACGGACCTCAGCTGGGTGTCAATCAGGGTGCTTACGAGCGAGTGCAAAATGTGTCATTTGAAAGTTTTTGGAACAGATTAAATTATTTAGGAGCAGTGAAAATATTGTTGCAACTGAGAACTTGAAAACTAAAAGTTAAAAAACTTGAATTTTTTTGACTCGATCAACACCAAAGATTTTGGCGTAAACCACTGCGGAACTGAGATACGATATTTCTGAGGGAGCTGCCTGATTATTGGCTTTTCTTTGCCGATAATGCGATTATGTCCGTATTTGGTCCAACTCTCATTCCGATACCGATATCACCCCGTACCGATATATGCCAGGCGTGTTTACACCAAAGCACTGTTTAGGTTAACAAACATTAACCATATCTGCCTAGTTGTGAGAGTTAACAACATATGCCTCGCATTTCATTGTGATGCCCCACTGGGCATGCCATACATAAATGCAACATGCGGCTTTCCAAATGCCTAAACACTGTCTGTTGCCCAAAAATAGTATTATCGGACATCCCTACATATTTCTATTCCAACTGAAGATTGGTTGCAAAACTTAGATCTGGACCCATAGTGGTCACCACAAATACCAAAAAAAAAGAAGGTAGAATTTCATGAATTTCAGTGTGCATGGTGTGGGGTAATTGAGGGGAGTGGGTGTGGCCTGTCAAATGTTTGCTGGTAACTCAAAATGTCTCTGAGCAATCCTGATTCAACACACTGTAGGCTGTGACTCACTCGGATTTTAGAATCACAAACGTAGTTTTCGTGATAATATGAATGTTTTGTTCTGTGAGCCATGCTGGTTGCTCTTGCTGTACACATTTAGACTGTAAACATCCTGGAAAACACCTGCTGATGTCATTGAACTGTTTTGTATGCAATGGAAAAGGTTATATATATAGCTGAGCTTGAGTTGTCCCCTGAGATTGGATTCAACAGTCTCCAAATAAACACCTAACAAGTGGAAACCTTAAACTGTAGATGAATGAAAAGGATTAGTCCGACTGCACTTAACCTCACTGTGTAAATACTGATGGCGTGTGTTCGACATCACTTTGAGCCTTTTACAGATGTTGTGTGAGCAGCTTGCCTGCATTTGCAAGAGACAGAGTGATTTGTGAAAAGCCTAAATTG